TACTACTTACTACTTACTTCTTACTACTTACTACCTACCTCTGCTGCTACTACTAGTGCTACTACTACTCCTACTACTACTACTACTACTCCTCCTCCTCCTCCTGCTGCTGCTGCTGCTGCTGCTGCCTCTACTGCTACTGGTTCTACGACTGCTACGCTAGTACTGCTACCACTACTGTTGCTGCTGCTACTGATACTACTGACAGCTGCTACTACTACTTCTACGACACTGCTACTTACTTCTACTATTTCTACTACTGCTGTTGCTGCTCCCAGTACTGCTGCTACTACGATTCCTACTTCTTCTGCTGCTGCTATCATTCAATTTCGCACAACGCTGCGAATCCCTTCTCATATCCCAACTCACCTCAATTCCCAGGCTCAAGGTGGCTCAGGAGCAGAGCGGTCTCATCAAGGCGGGTCGCACGGTTTGTCTTTGAATCTAGGGGTTTGGCACGTGAATTCCGTCTCCTGTTTCACTCGCTTGCCGCCTGCTTTTGCCATGTTGCCCGAACTCTTCTTGAAGCGAGAAGACCCTGAATGCCTCGTGTAAAGAGAACTCAAGGCAGGCCGGTCTGGCACCGAAGAATTTGACTTCATGAGCCTCGGCAGCAACATCACCTGCAAGAGAGCTTCTGTGGCAAACCCTCGCTCATAAGGACAAGGATCAGCAAGGAGTTTGAGAGATGCTTGTCAATGCTGCCGTACAGCCCCCCAGCAGCAAAGGGAAGCAAGGGTCCACAGTCTTGCTGCCGTTGGATCTGCTCGGACACGACGCATTCCTTGAGCATCACTGTGGATGTATGCAGGTGCACAGGAAAGCTGGCGAAGCAGCCTCCGCCAATTCCTGGCAGTCGCGGACCCGCGCTGCAGGATTCTCGCAAATCAGCTTCTGGGACTCGAAGAGTTCTTGCCAGAGGCGGTGTTGGGCAATGCTGGGCAGATAAGAAGTTGCCTCAAAATCAAAAGGCAGGAACAAACAACGATTAGCTCGATCAAGACCCCGAACATGCCTGAGACATGGCAGGGCGTTACTGCATGTTCCTGAAAACAACGAGAACGGAACCCGACAAGAGACTGCACACACGCGAGGAGCTGTGTCGAGGCTTCTTTACAGATAGCCAGGTTAGTCGGGACTGCGGTTCTTTGTGAGCTGCCGTGAGCGGGTCCAGTGCTTTACAGTTTCAGCGAACTGGTACAGGAAAGGGTTCAGATCATTGCCACGACAGGGCTCTGCCACAAGAACACAGCAGTTGAGACACCGAGGCACTGGCATCAGGAGCCTAAGTCCACATCTGCTGTTCCGGAAAGAAAGGAACCGTCATGTTGGATGTTTCCGGGACATGGGCAGGGTCGCGAACCTTCTTGTTGGATATTGCTGGGATATGGGGAGGGTTGCAGGTTCAGGTGGTCGGAAAGCGAGTTGAGCTTAGCAGGGACTCTGTGTCTTTTTGCAGCTTAACTCAGAGCGGGATTCGTGGTGCTCAGCAGCGAATGACTGAATGCCGGGCGATGCAGCATAACCCATGGCCAGCAGTCTTGTGCTAAGCTGCAACCCTTGACGTTCGATGTCTTTTTCTGGAGCCCAGGCTGCTCGAGCACGGCCCATGGCAGGCACTGGACCTGTAGGATCCTGTTGGTACAGGGGGCTTACCAGGGTTCACTCCATGGGAACATATCGTAGACCCAGCTCGCTCCCGCAACTTGGGAATCTGCAAACAGTAAAGCTTCGATCCAGACTTCGGCCCAACATGAGAAATTTTAATGGGGTTGGGGCGTTCATGCTTTCGGTTGTGTTGGCATTCTTCCGCCTGGCTGCCAGGAAGCAGCAACCTGGGCTGCCCACAATCTCATGCCACCTGGCGAAACATGGCATCGCAGGCCGACAGCACCCTTTGGTGAGATGTAAAATGCTTCGAAGCCGAGCTCCAGACCAGCCAAGGATGTGCAGGCCTTGCAGCTTCGCGCCCCGGGGTATTTGCCGCTCTGCCGAGGAGTGCAACTTCTGCCACGTCCCAGGCGAAGCCGTGTTGCCGAGATTTGCTGCAAAGACTGACTGATGTTGACGGTTTGCAGGCCATGCGGCACCCGCCAGACGCCCCAGCAAGAAGGAGTGAACCGGGGATGTAGACAAGGAACCTGACTCCTCGGTGGGCCCCACTTGTGTGTGCGGATGGGAATCCAAAGCAAGTAAATCTATATGAGTTCAAAGTTTTCCTCGGCCAGGAGCGGATGCGTCGCCAGCGCAGGCAGCTTGCTGTTCTATTCTTGATTGAGTCCGTCCGCACGGGTACAATGTCCTGCAGCAATCTGCAGCATGCTGTAGCTGTCATTATTGCAATTCTCTGGACATTCTCTCCGAGCAAAGTTGTGAAGTTGTCCACGCTAGCTACAGGCTGAGGGGCTGAGACTTGGCAAGTGTGAATTTCGTCGCGCTGTGGGCACCGAGGTTGCAGCGTCTTGTGTCGAGAACGCCATCTCCTGAGGGACTTTCCAGCTGAGACTAGCTAAGAGAGCTCGACCTCGGTCGGGACCTAGTCTGCTTAGAGCAGCGTTCCGGTATTGTGTGAGGACTCCTGAACTTGACTGCTTTTCGATATCCCGCCTGCGATGGGTTGTCTGCAACTTCGTGTCCAAAGGACAACTTGGCAGACCTATAGAGTACCCCTTGCAGGAGTGGTGTTTTGGGTGGCAAGCAGGTTTGCCGGCCCTGGATGGCAAGTCGCTGCCACGAGAGTTCCTTCACATTCTGCACATGGCATCTGCGCGTGAGTCGTGTACAGAGACCGACATGTGAATGCCGAAGAGAGTTTGTGGATTGTCCGTGGCTGTTCGACATAGTCTCTCGAAGACCGGAAGAGAACAAAGCGGACCTTCGGCTGTCAAGGTGCAGGGTACCAGGACAACCAGTCTCTGAGCGAGTCAGACATGTACAAGCGTGCAGCATCCCCAGCTGGCTGGTGCAAAGGTCTGTCCCAGGATGTTTGAGGGATGTGCATTGTCAACATGACGGAGTGCACTGCACTGTCGTGGCGGTCTTTCTGTTTAAACATCAGCGAGGTAGTGCAAGCGTCACACGGAACGCCTAGGCTGGCGCAGAGGCGCCACCGCCGCCCACTGCTCGGGCGCCGATGAAGGAAGCCTCGGTGACACGCGAGGCCGTCATAACCCGGCCCCCTGCTGAGCCCGGCACCCAGTACTACGCAGGTTGTACAGGAGCAATCCAGGAAGATGTTCGCACTCTCGCACACGAAATTTTGTATGTACGTATGTAAAGCAATCATGCAGAGACCACACGAAGATACATTATGTTTGCAGCATCTTGATGATTGTAATTTGTTGGTTATGAGCTTGTTGATGTTGTGGTTGGGGTGATGGCGTGCTGTTTGTGACAATGGAGTAATGGGATGGTGTAGGAGATGGGGCCTGATACATCGGATCCTGAAGACGCATTCGAACACTGTGGGGTACATCGTCTGGATAATCATACGGCACTCCTACTGGGCCTCCAGTCCTCTTAATCCCCCGCATCCCCTCTACCCCGACATCCCCTTTCACAACCATGCACAATCTTCGCTGTGCTCTTCTTAGGTGCTTGAGCCAGGTTCCAGTGGCCATTCGCTCACGGATACATGCCACATTCAAGTGGCCATTGGTCAACGGAAGCAACTGCATGCTGACCTGGCGCCACGGCCATGCACTCAAACTACACACATGCCCACAAACAGAAGTAACTGTCTAATGCTTGAGGTCATGCTTTAGGATATTGATGTATGTGAAAAATACACAAGTCATGAAAGGTGTGAGGAGGAATCAGTTCAGCCTTCTCAATAGTTTCAAAGCAGCAGTAGAGCAGTAGTTTCAGAAGAAGATACGTGTCTACATTATGAAGATGTGCATGCATGCATGTATGCAGGTAAGTATGTACATGGGTAGGTGGGTGGGTGGTTGGGTGCGTGGATGTGTAGGTGGGTGAGTGAGTGGGTATGCATGGATGCATGGCTGGCCGGATGCAGGGATGAAGGGATGAGGGGCGGAGCGATGGAGGGATCGCATGGAGTCAGGGATGGATACATGGATGATGGATGTCTATATATGTGTGTGTGTGTGTGTGCGTATGTGTGTGTAGATGCTTGTATGTGCAGTGCACGTGTGTCTGTGTCTGTGTGTACGTGTGTATGTGTTTTTCTATGAACGAATGCATGTGTCTGTGAACATGCACGGCTTGCATGTCTTTTCGTGGTGCCCTTGCACAAGAGTGCGCTTGCACATAGCCAGGCGCAAGACGGTCCCATGACCCTTCGATTCCAGCTTGCCAATGTAAATCCTGATGCTTCTCGTCCTTGTCACGTGCATTCGTAAGCCTCGGCTGTGAGGCCTGTTGGAGAAGCCGGCCTGAAGCCGAAGCAGGACATGCGCACGGTATGAAAGGCCGTACAATGCTCATGCAATATCCAACCAAGTATCGAACTAACTGATGGAGAAACAACAAAGAAGCGATCAACATGTGAGTGCATTTTATCCATGAAATGTCTGCATAAAATACATACACGAATTGACAAGTAGATAACCGTCTGCACTTCACGCACCTGCACAAGGTTATCAATGTGTATGTGAATTTCTATATTTATATATATGTGTATATATATATTTATAGTTTTGCATGTCTGTACACCTGAGTCAAACATAAACAAATAGCAGAACACATACATACATACATACATACATACATACATACATACATACATACATATATATATATATTTATCATGTATGATAAATGAAAAAATATATACATATATAAGAATAAACCAATAATAAGTATATACGTATACTTACTTTTCTTCAAACATATATATCTGGCCTATCTGTCTAGAGGCTCGTGTGCCTCAGCTCGTGAATCCGAAGCTCCCAGCGAGGATGAGTTGGAGGCTTTGGAGAAAGCCAAGATTCGGGATCGGAAAAGAGCCGGCGTCGGGAGCCTAGTGGGCACGCGATGACTCGCCCGGAGGATACGGGATGTAGGGGTTTGAAGCGGCTCGTATTTTCCAGAGTCAAGCCTTCAAGTCTGAGGTTTTAGGACCTCGGAGGGTAATGCCAGCAGGGGTCGGTGCTTGGGGGCTCATACCATGTGATCGTTGGGCTGGAGGAAGAGTAGGCTGACCGACAAGACTGTCATGGCTTGCAACTTGTGCATATCTATCTATCTAAACTAATCTTAACTAAGCTAATTTAGTCTAGTCTATCTATCTGGATACGTTCGTACTTATCATCTTCACACATTTTCATACAGCTAGCCGCTTAACCACAAAGCATGCCATAAAGTTTAGACCATATTTTGGTAGAATATGCTATATATTATAGATAGCAAAACAAGGTGATGATGATAATATTGGCAATGAGCAAACTATGAATAACAATAGTCGTTGTGGTGTTCATGGTAACGGTAGTAATATAGCAATGACAATATGAATAATGCCAATAATAGTCATGGCAAGGATAATGATAATAATAGTGACAATATTCATCATCATACTAAGAATCAACAAACCACCACCACCACCACCAC